ATAGAGAAGAGCGACCCTTTTACAAACCTGCCCCGAGAAGAGACTAAAACTTACTCAACCATATGGAGAATGCAGACTTTCATGCCAAGGGAATTCATTCCCATTGATGATCCTTTTGATCCATCATTTCAAGTGAATGCTATAAAAGATGACCCACATGTGTGGGATGGTAAACTAAACTCACAAGGGATCCGAGATGAGCCCGAGAATAAGTTTGGTCAAGGCTCCAAAACTAGCGATTCCTTGAATCACGGAGACAAGGGTAGCTCGAGGATAGTTATTCAAGATGAAATAAAAGTGCAAATTTTTTAAGAAAACTTATCACCCCGAGAACCAGAACCACAAAGGAAAGATGATCTTCTAAAAATTCTAAGGAAACCTCTCGAACCACCTTTGCAAGAATTTTTGAATGATCCACCAATTTGGGATGAAGAGCTGGATATTGAAACTCCAACCATGTTACCTCCTTAAGAGGCAGGCTCTCTAGAAGTAATTAACGACATGGGCACGATCCCGAATACTGGGGCACCCCAAGATCAAGAGACCTCATTTAATGACGAACAAGTAGTTGTTGATGCACAAGACTCTACAGCGGCAGTCGTATGAAATCACTCAATGGGGGGCACCCACGTTAGATATTGGAAACATAACATGGGTAGTTAATGAGATTGAGCCCCAATTTGTTAACTCCCAACATGCCATAAGGCCATCCAATATTAACTCAGCCACTCTTCTTGTACGAGAGTCTCACCTTGACTCAAACACTGAGAAGGAGCCTACTACGGAATTAACTCCTAAAGAGCACTACAAAATCTTAATTGAAAAAGATCATCGAAAAGGAGTAGGGTGATCACTCGCCCCTTGCAAATAACCCAATGGGGCATTCACGCCTCATATTTCAAGAAGGCATTAATGCTTAATGAGTAACATAAATTATCCCATTAATGGGGAAAACCTAATGAGTTTGTCATCTAAGCAAAGATTGAGGGATTAGAAAACTGAGAGTGCTTCTTAGTCTGAAAATCAAAGTTTAGGTAGAGCAGTTCAAAGAAAAAGTTCAACAGAAATTCAGCAACCATTGTCAAAGAAATGTTTGATGCCAACCTGGGGCAAGGGAAATCAAAAGATAACCGATATTAGAACCTCTTTGCCACTTGGAGAAGGGAAAGATGATTGAATTCCTACATGATCTTAGGGCAAATTGCCACAAAAGAAAAAAAAATGGCACCGTTGACTCATCTTCTTCCTCCTCCTCTTCCTTCGTCATCGTCTTCTTCTTCGAAAATAAAAAAATAAAAGAAAAAATCCGCTGTGCTGAAAATCTGAAAGGAACCTCAAGTGTTGGAAAAAGAAGGCAACCAGACTGAACACCTGAAAGGGATCCTGGGCAATGAAAAATAAATAAAAAAGAAATCCGTTGGGCTGAAAATCCAAAAGGAACCCCAAGCATTGAAAAAAAGGCTACCGGGTTGAACACTCGAAAGGGACCTTAGGGCGACAAAAAACATGGTGTCATTGGGAAAAATCAATGAGCATTAGCCTGATAGAACATGGTTAAGGACCTCAATCATCTGGACTTCGAAAGGTAGGTGGTGGAGGAACAAAATCGGAAATCCAAGGAGATTCTAAGCCCTCAGGGGCAGTATCCTGTATTTTTCAAGACTCTGTTTTGCTCGAAAACTTCAGATAGCTCTCCTTTGAATTGAAGTACAAGAGCTGAGGTTGGAAGATCAAGGAATACTTGATGATTCATCGTCATGAAGATTCAAGCAAGGACCTGGCATGCTCATATAGGGTCCCCCAAAGGGGTCACAAGTGGTTAAACTGTAAGACCCACATTTAAAAAAAAAAAAAAAACTTGAAAATTTCATTTCAAAACTTTTTCTTTTAAAAAATGCTCATTGGTGGCACAAGCCTAATCTGCCAACCAATTTCAAAAGAAAAATCTTCCATTTCAAAAAAGTTAAAAAAAAAAAATGTTCCTTAGTGGCACTAGTCTAAACTGCCAACTATATTTCAGTTAAAAAATGTCTAGCCCGGTATGACATAAACGTTGGGTGTATCCGTCTAACCGCGTATGATGTTAAAGGTCGGGTGTATTCAGAAAATGTCTAGCCCTGTATAACATAAAAGGTCGGGTGTATTCAGAAAATGTCTAGCCCCGTATAATATAAAAGGTCGGGTGTATTCAGAAAATGTCTAGCCTCGTATAACATAAAAGGTCTGGTGTATCCGTCTAAACCTGCATGACGTTAAAGGTCGGGTGTATTCAAAAAATGTCTAGCCTCGTATGACATAAAAGGGCGGGTGTATCCGTCTAACCCCGTATGACGTAAAAGGTTGGGTGTATCCATCTAGCCTCGTATGACGTGAAGGGTTGGGTGTATCTGTCCATCGCTGCATGCTGTTAAACTGCTTAGCGGGCTCTATGGTTGCAAGAGCTAAAATTGCTAACAAAAAATTTGTTTCCCAAAATATCTCTCTTTTAAATTTTTTTCATTATATGTCTTGTGTTTTCAGAAACTTAAATTTCTTTGTTAAAATCGTAACCTGTCCATGCTCCTGGTTCTATTTCAAACTTCCCCCTATTTTCAAAATTTTTAAAATGTTTTCTAAAACAATGGAGCTGGACACCCGTACATGATGATTACCGCGTCGCCGCCTCATCTCTCTCTTCAGATTTGATCAAGAAACATTTTCCCATTGGGTAAATCCTTTGAAATCTTAGGAAACATTAAAAAAAATCAAGGAAAATGCCCAGTTTAAAGATTTGAAATTGTGAAAACCCCTAAAGTTAAGTGGTATGGTCAGAAAATCCAACTCGAGTTCCAAGCTTGTGTGACTCACCGAAATCTCACGTCGAAAACCCTAGGATGAAAATGCCCTAGGTGGGTGAGCGGGGAGCACAATGTCTTGGAGGAATAGTTGGTGTGCCCTTTGATCGCGGAACGTCAGGATGAAATTTAAAATGTCTACACTGTTTTTGCTACTCACCTGCCCCTTCAAGGACTGGGAG